GATAAGTGTTGAATAATGAAGAAAGGAACAAGACTATCTTATGTTGGCTGTCTAATATATGTTAAAATTAAAACTCCTTTATTATTTAAACAATGATGTAATAAACAATGTCATTAAAAATGACAGTAGTTCCTAAAAAGCGTCCATACACAAGAAATATACATGGTCCCTAAATATATGCGTGTAATTTCACGTATTACTTACTTATCAACTACACGTTCTTGGGTGATTTTCATAACCAATTTACTGTCGACAAGAGCTAGCATTATTACTAGTACGTAGATGACGTTTTTTAGTGTAGTCTAGAAAGGAGGCTATAAAATCTGTTGGATATAGCATAAATCTAATTTCTCAGTTCTTTATATTTTTACATAACTTTTTCCATATGAATAACGATAGCACAATTAATCCTTACAACGTCTGTAACGTATGCCAATATTCTGCCCCTAATGCTAAAAGCATGTACGTACACGTACAAAAGAAGAGGTGTATTTCTTTAGCCGATGAAGTTGATACGAGCATCGAATCCTCCCATGTAACTCCAATTGACGGATTCTCCTCGGAAGATATCGATATGACTGACATTGCAGATACTCCTGGAAATTATGATGATGTCGACGAAGGTATGGGCGAAAGAATTTTTAAATAACGTGCATTTGACTTACTTTTGCAATACATATGAATCAGTTCTGCAGGAAGAGTTTCCTGACGCAATTTTATATGAGTATTTTAATAGCAACCACGGCCATCATAATAAATTGAGGGCATTTGAAGTTGGATTCTTGCAATTAACTGATCAGAAAGGTGTATCGAGGGAACTACAACGCCATCTAATTTCATTCATCAGCAAAAAATTGCTTGGTTGTATAGCACCAGAAGATTGCATACAAGGTAAAACAAAAAGCAACAAAGACTTCCATTTCTCATGTTTTTATCTCTCAAATTAGGCTTAGGTGGGACAAACCTTCGTTCTCCTGATCAGATAAAAAATATAGTGGTTAAGACTAGAGGTATTTGTAAAGAATATGATGTCTGCGTTAATAGCTGTTACCTTTTTATGGATGATGATCAAGCTGTAGATTGCCCTAATTCCAAATGTAAAGAGAAAATATTCAAAGACAATTGTAAAGTTTCTCGTGAAATTATGCCATGCGTGTCCATCGGTGAAGCATTGACACAGATGCTATTGGATGATGACAACACGGAGCTTTTTGAATGCAAGCCTACGTTTAATCTTGATGATAATCAACTTGTCACAGCGGCGCACTAGGTGGTAAAAATGTACCACCGGTTGATTTTTTGAACTTCCGGACGTGAAATTGTACCACCGGTGGTAAAAATGTACCATCACGAACTTCCAATTTCTATTTTTTTTTTCTTTTTTTACATATCTACACATAAATTAAAAATAAAAAAATAAAAGAACATTCACTTCATGGGACGATTCAATGACAGGAATTGCTTTATTGTAAACTTTTCGTAAAGCGGAAGAAAGAAAGGAAAACCAGTCTAAAGATCACCCAAAGAGCCGGCAGGACGATGGCCGATCTTATCGGTATATTTGATGTAAGGCCAAACAACCTTGAAGAGGTTATCTGAATCAGAATACCGAACAAGACATACAACTTCAAGAATGTTGGAAATCGATATTACCGCGTACTTCTTATACCGATCCCCTCTTGAATTGCGAGCAACTGTCACGACATTATAGTTGTCAAACTACTGCTGTTTCATCACCTCAACAATAGCCAGAAAATTGACATTACCGTCTTGGACATGACTGAAGTAACAGTGCACAACACCGACAAACCAAACAGAAAGAGTTCTATAATTTATAATGTAAGCCTCGATATGGTTAATATATAGTCTTTACTTACCTATGGCCCGTACTTTTAGGTGCCTGGAACAGAACATGACTGTTTGCTCTTGTTTTGAGTCTCTTCAAAGTTCTGTCCATGATAGAAGAAAACACCAAATCATCTTTCCATGCACGACCAGCAATTTCAATTCTCGACGAGATCAAACCTTCAATAGCATGACCATCCTTACGATCGTAATAGGAATACAATGCGTCAATTACTTTTGATCTTTGGACCCCGAAGCATATCTCTTCTTCATCTGGATTTGACAAGCATTGCGCCACAAACGGAGACCAGATTTGAACACCTGAAGAATGAGACCGATAAGTGTCAGGACGATCCATCGATTCAGAGAACTGAATAGTTTCCAAACGTCTCACGGCCAATTTGCTGTAGTTAGCTTGGTGACCGAGAACATTCGATGCATTGGCCCCTATCAGATGCGTAGATTGGATCAAGTTGGTAAACGTCTTGATTGTTCGCTCCATTGGTCGACAGGAATAGCATTTCAACGGTCCCATTTTTTCAACCAAAAAAGGCAAATGCATCAAATAATGGTTGTTGGCTGTGAAGACTCGTGCGTTAATTCTTTTATGGCAGATTTCGTCATTCAAAAAGGTATGCCATTTGTAGAAACATCTAATAATTTGCATCAATGTCTCATTTTGTTTATGTAGAATCAGAAACTCCTATTACCTTTTCATCTTCGAATTATCCTCTTGTGAGATACGCCATTGAAGAGCTATAGAGCACCCCTCTACCAAATTCATTAAAGCTGTTCTAGACTGACTGCTTCGTATAAGTGGAAGTATAATTGTTGGGACAACATACAAAAGAAAGTCGATGTAATCAACAGCTCTGGAGATACCAACAGCTGAGTTCCATGTTCCTTCGAACGCTGATGGGATATTGACCCTACTTTGGTTGACCTTTTCATCGATTGAATCGAAAAATTTTCCGTCTTGCGTAATCAGCTCGAACGTGTAATTTTTGCAACCAACTATTGTGTCATAGAACTTTTGATTCTTTTGGGGGTACAAAAGACAATAGACCAAAGTACCAAGTCCTCTACCGATGAGATGCATTTCGTCACCAAGAAAAAAAGGGGTGCCAGTGAAGGTAGGAAGAGACCCAATTATAGAATCAATACCAAGCATATCAAACTTTTAATTTAAATTATCAGTATTATATTGAGATTCATATTCTGGATCATTTACCAGGTCACCGTCAATCAACTGTTGTCTTGTTCGCATATCGCCAGCCTTCAAAAAGTAGATACCATAATTGTTACCTTCAGGATGACTACCCGCTACGCGACATATTCTACAACCATAGTTGCTCGTATGCCCACGATGATTGATCAAGTCAGCAATACCTGGGATGTCACCAGTCATACCGAGCAAGAAGACTTTGCTTTTGTTGACAACGACATTATTCTTTTCAACCACAAAACCTCTTGAGCATAATGTTTAAATCTCATTGATAATGGGTTTTAAGAAACTCATGAGGTATTCGGGCTTTTTAGGACCGGGTATAATAGCTAATGGAATCATCATTGACTCCTTTGCTCTATAAATAAATAGGTAAGCTAACATAACAGATACTTTCGCAAGGCAGCTAAATATGTATACCTTTTGGACGCAGAGATATTCATAACTATACAGTGGACTAATGTCTGGGAACTTCCTGGTTTGGATTTATTAGGGAAGCCATCCACATACAAAACAAGACAGACATCGTTGCGGGTAAGCAAGTTTCGTTGAAGAAAATCCTTACACACGGAACCAGAGAACATATCAATGTAAACGCCTTCTTCATCATACTGGCTGAATTGGCGGGAATAGTCCATATCTTCTCGGATTTCATCATCAACTAATAGCTCCGCAAGTGAAGCACCCACAGAAGATATAGCCATGGTCTGGAAGGCTTCTTGAGGGGTATTGCTACCAGCATGGATCAAAGCTTCGGCGTTTTTCTGGTCTTTGTAACGCCTTTTCCCACAACTAGGATTAATACAATACAATTGGTCTACATTATCATCGAAAAGATAACAACCATCACGACACACATCATACATTTGGACGGTATTAATACTGCCTTTGTTAAGGAGTCTATGAATAGCTTCGGGGGAAGCAACCAAACCACCCAAGTCTAAGTTTTGATTAGCGTTATAAAAAGTTTGTAAGTAAATACATCGCTTACCCGTAACAGCAACTGGGTCAAAAGCAGATAGAAGATTATCATTGATATGCTTTACCACGTCACGTTGAACTTGTCTGGAGACGCCATTGTGATCAAGAAGTTTAATAAGACCTATCTCAAACTTTTGAATCGTATTCCAGTCGTAATCATGGTCAAAATGCTTAAACTTGATAGGATCTTCGTACGTGACTGAAATATCTTCGTATGCCGTTTCTGACAAGACAATGTAAGTTAGCCTAAAACATTTTCTATTCACTTAATTTGGTATTACCAGAAAGTTCCTCCATTACAACATCATTATCAGTATACTCTTCAGAAGCAGATTCTTCAGAGACATGTTGTGCATTACCATTTAAACGACTAATGTCACCGTTCATCATATTTCTTATGGCAAAACGCGAACAATTTTCTCTTCGTTGATGTTGAAGCATTGAAGTATCGTCATTGAAAAGACTATCACATAAGGGGCATGGGACATTACGTGTGGACATTTTTTTAAAAAAATAGAGGGAAGTATAAAGAAAGGAAAGACGTAATGATGAATTGACCATTAAGTACTTAATGCAATTAGCTTACTAGTAGATCCACATTTCAATCTCAGCAAAACGCTAATAATTATTTAGATTTTAGCATAATATAAGGTAAAGAATATGACGTATAATGACTTGGTAAGTACATAAATAGCTGATGGTACCATATAAAGTGTCCTTTCTTTTTAACATTCCAAATTTTTAGTAAAACGAGGTTTTTTCAAACCAAACCTCCGTTTCGGTAAAAATTTTGACCTTCGCTGCGCTGCGGTAAATTTTTGACCTTCACTATGGTTTGGTACGCTGCGCTTTGAAAAAACCTCGTGCTGCCGCAGGCCTGTTAAAAATAAATGGGGAATAAAAATTTATTTAAATAATAGAATATGTGGATGTGATAGAATAAAGAATATTAATTTCGAAATATTTCAGTGTAAACAACATTTGATGTGTATGATCCTTCTACACCTTCAATAGTTGATATTTCTTTAGGAATTGAAATTCTGATGTCGCTGGGTTTTTTGACTCGGGATAATGCTACATACAGCTGTCCATGCGAGAAAACAGGCGTTGGAAGATATAAACCAACGGAATCTAATGTCTGGCCTTGTGATTTGTTGATTGTCATTGCAAAAGCTGGTCGAATTGGGAATTGACATCTCTTGAATTCAACACCAACTTGTTCCACGGTGGAGCACAAAGTGATGCGTGGAATAAGAACAATGTTACCTTCGTATGGTCCAGTGGCTACTTCTTCTTGAATTACAGTACAGTAACACACTATTTTTAAACATTGAATTATTATGAAATTTTTTAAACATGATAGGCATTTAGAAGATGAGGACAATTATTTTATTAAATGACATCTCGTACACCCCAGCTGGGTAAGTTAGCCAATTTCTCAATTGGCAAAACCGATCGGACGACTCTGACCGTACGATGCAAAGGATGTCCAGGGTTTCTATGCCCATGGAGAGAATCCAACTGGCTGAACATGTTGTTTAGCTGGTTTATATTAAAAAATGGTATGTTGCAAATTATTTACATGATTATTCGTTACCGCTTTTACAAATACCTTGTCCGTTCTCCAACTTGGGCGGAGGGAGGTGTACGAGATGGATTGAACATGCTCATTGGTTACATTGTCTTCATCTTCAGACATGTAGGCTGCCTCGAGAAAGACCCTGCAGCTTTCCTTTGGGTGAAAGCGTGCAACAATGACCTCCTCGTTAGCCAAGAAGTTGATCTTTCTTCTTCGCAGCTTCTATTAAAGGTAAAGTTAGATAGATACTTCACCAAAACTGTAATTATGTACTTATTGCAGACAGCCTAGCACGTTGGTTACGCGTACGAGCACGCAAGCAAACCTTCTCGAGATTCAGGTTTTGAACCTGCAAAAATTGGACTCTCCGGTCTTTGCAGTTACGTCTGATACGCAACTTCAGGAACCTTCTCATATCAACTAACAAGGCATGAAGGGGGTGGCGCGATAGAAAGAGTCGCGTTGTTGTCCACGAAACATCTCGAAGATGTACTGAACAATTAGCAAATTGACCCCTCTCATCACAGAGGTGGAGAAGTCCCAGCCAATAATGTTATTGGCCGTAACATAGTCTTGATAATGCTGGCGGATGGCAGCCTGCATGGTAAATTGTTAATTTTAATGTTAATTTTTTTAATTGATTTGCTTAGAGCATCCTCAGCGGTTGATTAAATTTTTCATTAAATATAATCATTTTTTTGTGACCAAATTTGCTAAATTAAAATTTCTCCAGCTGTTGAGTACAAAAAAAAAAAATGAAAACTCGGTCCCAGTCATTTTGTCCTGAAAAACTTTTGTTACTTTTTTTATAAAACGTTAACTGTCCTAATAACAGACTACTATTTAAAATCAAGTGATGAGGATGAAGAAGAACTTTACATGCATAATCTTATAGTGAATACTTTGAAAGCTTTGAAAGCAGAGTTGCCCAAAAAAGATAGAGACGTCTTGTCAAAGAACGTAACATTATTTGGAGAAAACGGGACGAAGGTCATCAATCCCTTATGAGAGACTACTTCTCGGAGACACCTATCTATGTAGACAAAATGTTTCGTAGAAGATACAGAATGAGACGAAGTCTATTTCTACGAATTGCCAAGGAAGTGGAGGCTCACGACAACTACTTCGAGCAAAAGGTCAACGAAGCCAACTGCTTGGGGTTATCGCCTCTCCAAAAGATGATCGCAGCCATGCGTCAGTTAGCTTATGGTCTCGGATCGAACGCAATCGATAAATATCTTTGTATGGGCCAATCAACTGCAATGGAAAGTCTAAAAAGATTCTGTTACGCCATTGTGAATGTTTTTGGGAAAGAGTACATGCGAAACCCCACGCAAGAGGACGTAGACCGTCTTTTGGACGCTGGAGAGAAGAGAGGTTTCCCGGGCATGCTTGGATCTATAGATTGTATGCACTGGGAATGGAAGAACTGTCCAATGGCATTCCATGGAAACTTTACCGGGAAAAGCGGCACACAAATTGTGATTTTGGAAGCAGTAGCTTCCTAGGACCTATTGATCTGGCACTCCTTTTTGGTACTCCTGGTGCTCTCAATGACATTAACGTCATCCATCGCTCCTGTCGTATTTCCTCCAATAAATATCGTATATAATGACCTTCAATGTGGTTAAATTATAATATTCGAGTGGTACTCTCATATTACCAGTAAAATCTTGTTACAGATTATATATTGGGAATTATATTATTATTGGTTGTTTTTGATTCTCATTTATCTGTTACTGAAGTGTCATCTAATGAGAATGTTTCACTTAATAATTTGGGCCAATCAATATAAGAAAGTATTGATTGACTTAAGACCATGTAATTCTAATTGCCATGTTTCAGAAGATAGAAACAAGCCACTGCCTATTCCTTACCAGATTCAATCTCCCAGATGTTTGATATAAAAAGCGTTCTCCCTTTTGCGATGACTTTCTCTCTATAACTTTAATAAAGGATTAATAGAGACTCATTTCTTATTACTTCTTTTTTTATTCTGTTTTATCTATTTTTAATATCTCAAACATCACAGCTCCCCCATTTTTTCAACTTTGGCAAAAGGTGATATGCCTGGAGTTACCTTTACGGTCAATGGTAAAGCTATGACAAGGGCTATTATTTGGCAGATGGGATTTATCCAAATTATACCTCTTTAGTCAAGACCTTGCCTAACCCCCAGTCTCAAAAAAGAAATGTAATTCGTAAAATTGTGTGAGATGTATTGATGCCAATGTGTTATATAATACAACTTTGCAAAGGCTCAAGAGGCTGCGAGAAAGGATATTGAACGTGGTTTTGGTGTCTTGCAAGCACGCTTTGCTATGGTACAAAGATTTTGCCGGCTCTTTAAGCCAAACGATCTGCATGCATCATATTACATAATATGATTATTGAGGATGAGCGTGAACTAGATCTTGATTTTATTTACGAACCCCATTCTGCTCCTCCTCAATCATCTCGCTGTACTATTTCGATTGGTGAGTTTGTTGCTAACGTTTTCAGTGTTAGAAATGCTGATATGCATGATCAGCTTCAATCTGATTTAATTGATCACTTATGGGATAGATGAGGCGACACGTAGATATCGACAAGATTCTAAATAAAATAGTTTTTTAAACAGAAAAAGAAGTTTTTATTTATCTCATATATTCATCATCCTCAAACCAAAAGAGGCTCGCCGTCTTCCACCAAAAGAGGCCCTTCTTTGCCCAAAGATTGTTGATCAGGATGATACAAGGAATTGTCATCCTCTTCAACATTCTTTGCCAACGAGCGTTTACGGGCCTCCTCTTCCTCCGCCTCCTCCTCCGCCATGATACGATCCATGATGATACGTTGTTTATTCTCAACGTATCTTCTGTATCTTCCATAAATGATGACAGTGGTATCCGTCATCAAGATATTCTTCTCAATCTTTCGTTTTTCTTGAGACTTGGCGTAGGGCAATTTCTCCTTGGCAAATGAAATCTTCTCCTTGGTGATTTCGATGTAGGCATTGTAAGATGATGCCAATTTCTTGACATCTTCCTTGTTGTTTGGCTCTTCGAGCTTCGCCTTCTTGCGTCCCATAGGACGTACCTCGTCCAAGGTATCCTCAGCTGAAAGGCTCAATACCGCTTTCTTTCCCTTGCCTTCGGCTTTTATCTCAGCGATTTCAAGTCTGCTTTTCCATTTTTCACAACTTTCAAGAATCTTGTACAAGTGCAAGAATTGGAAAACTTTCTTTTCAATTGGGTCAGCTCTATACATCTCCATGGCTTTATGTATCTTTTATTTCTATAAATATTATGTAAGTTTTTATGTATTTTAAACAATTTTGAGTATTAATGTATACCATGTCCTCGGGACCTGAGCCACTGGGAGAGGGACTGTTCATACAAGTTTGGAAAAAACCACTAAACTTGCTAACGGACTTGGCGATGGCCGTAAACCGAACCCGGTGAGACGACCAACACCTTTCCCTGGGAGGCGTTTTATACCTCTTGACATAATTAATGTCGAATTCATCGGCAATGTTTTGCCAAAAGTCAGGGCCAGTTCGGTCATTACCTTTAATAAGATCGGTGCTCATTGAGGACCACGAATGGCACAACTAAACGTCATTTTCCTCAGTGTAATTAAACCCACGAGTACGCTTGTCAGCTTTAGGGTCTTGTTGCGTTTTAGTCATTGTTTATTCGAAAAACATCAAGAAAGAAAAAAAAAATCGAGAAGTTAAAATTTTTTAAAAAAAATGTGTAATTTTGTAGATCTGTGCCATTTGAGATAAAAAATAAAGTTTGTGTAAATTTACTGCAAGTTTTAATCAACCGCTGGGGAATCATTTTTTAAATTTGTTTTAGATTTACGAAAAGCGCCAATTTAATCAACTGCTTGGGATGCTCTAACAGACTGTTCGGCATCATGCCCACCGGCAGCGTTACCAAATCGCACAGGAGCTTGAACATTACGATGCAGAGCCTCGAGGTTGAGAAGTCGGTAGTTCATGGCCTCTAAAGTTTCGACCATATTGTTAGCCACCGCTGCACGGTTGGCTGGTGCAAAGCGGCGAGTGGGAGTGGCAGCATTGGTACCAGGGAGAGCGTTGGTGGGGGTGGCAGCATTGGTACCAGGGAGAGCATTGGTGGGAGTTGCAATGGCGTTTCCGACGCGACGGTTTGTGTTATTCATTTTTCTATATATTACATTTAACAAGGTGAGAAATTCGAGAGTGATAATAGCGAATTAAGAGAAAAATGTGAAATTTAACAAAGTGAAGTTATCAAACTGCAAAAATAAACTAAAGCTTTATTAAACAAATAAAAGGCGTCTTTATATACACATTATTTCAGACATTGATCACAGATGGGCTGATGACGGTAATGGGTAGATTTATCCAGATAATACTCGGATGTAATAATCCCATATAGAAAGACCATAATGAGATGTCAATAACAATAACAATAACATTCATTCTTAAACTGTGTATGTCTTGTAGCACAATATCCAGGGGAAAATGTAGTTCTTAATTCAGATAGCTGTGGCACCTCAATGTGGCTGATGTAACCTTCATATGTTTTTATATTAATGTTATTATTTAAATGTATGCACTGTACTTGTATGAAGGATGATATGAGATTAAGCCTGTACATAAAGTAAATGATCAGTATTTAATATAAAGTACCAATAAAAATTATATTTAGGATTATCAAATGGAAGATTTAAGAAGTGTAGATAGAGTCATATATTAAGTATATAGCCTAGAGCACGACACAAGGGGGGAGAACAGCAGCTATACCATGGAGTTGGTATAAATACAAAGCTGTGAAAACGCGAAATTAAATGAGAGAGCACACACAATTATCAATAAATGTTTTTTTTTTATTCTCCTCGAATATCTTTTTTTCTTATTATTCCTTTTCCTTCTTTGTTCATACTTTCCAATAATATGACTTTTAATAACTGGTAGGTTTCTAATTGCAGGTCAAGCCTTCTCTTAATTAACACTATTTTCTTTTATTGTCTAATTAGAAACAAGCCTAGCACTGGTCAAGTCTTGCTTTATTATGGTAACAAAAAATTAATCCTCTCGCTATTCGTGTTAACTAATTTTGTTTTTTTTTGTATATAGAAAAAGGTCTTGTAATCCAGTATTCTCGTCTCTATATAGGCTGGCCTATGTCACCCTTCGCAATGTTATTGCATTTGCTAGCCAAGTCATCATGAGAAGGCTAGTAATATCGATTTTACGAGGTAAACGTTTCAATATCGCTTGGGACAAGGGTAAAAAAACAAAAACGTTTTTTTCTTGCTTTATTATGTGTTGACAGAAATCATTCTTTACCCCCAAGGTCTGTTGGTGAACAATGTATGTGGTCTAATTATCTTACTGTCCCCAGCCACATGAAAGGTAAGATTTATTAAACGTGGAAAGTATAAGAAATAATGACTGGTCCTTTTATATAGATCCCTCTGCTTTTAAGTCTCTCTAGAATACTATCTGCTACAACTCTCTTTTGGAGGTAATGGACTTATTGCGTTATAAAGGTCTCGTTTTTTAATTGCTTTTTTTGGATTTTTTCCTTCTATTGATTCTGACCCCCTTTCAATCTGTATCCACTTTATGCTTTGCACATCTATTTTTTCCTCTGCAGTTTATTTGGGTAATTTATTCAAATAAGACTGTATCGTACGCTTTCTTACCATTTTTGTAATAGAATGCTACACTTTGTCATAGTTTGTTGTTGTCTCTAATCAAGCTGAGAAATTCCAGAGTGATAATAGCGAATTAAAAATAAAATGTGAAATTTAACAAAGTGAAATTATCAAACTGCAAAAATAAACTAAAGCTTTATTAAACAAATAAAAGGGGGTCTTTATATACACATTATTTCAGACATTGATCACAGATGGGCTGATGACGATTGTGGGTAGATTTATCCAGATAATACTCGGATGTAATGATCCCATATAGAAAGACCATAATGAGATGTCAATAACAATAACAATAACATTCATTCTTAAACTGTGTATGTCTTGTAGCACAACATTCAGGGGAAAATGTAGTTCTTATTAAAGATAGCTGTGGCGTCTCAACGTGGCGGATGTAACCTTCATATGTATTCATATTCATGTTATTATTTAAATGTATGCCTTATACTTGTATGAAGGATGATATGAGATCAAGCCTGTACATAAAGTAAATGATCAGTATTTAATATAAAATACAAATAAGAATTATATTTAGGATTATCAAATGGAAGATTTAAGAAGTGTACATAGAGTCATATATTAAGTATATAGCCTCGATCACGACACAAGCCACAAATTTCGGTTAGTCTGTGTGATCCATACAAATGGAATCTCTTGGTTTATATTGTAGGTAACACACAGCGCATGGAAAGATGTACTATTTATTAATTATTGGGGTTATAGGATTTCAAATTATGCAATCTACTACCATCTTCCGGTTACAAGACTCTGCGTAAATACGTGATGCAATATACACAGCTCTAAAAAATGTATACAAGGGTAAGCTTTTGCATCATTGATTGCTGCCAAATATACTGATATTTTATTTAATGTGTTCAACTTGTCTTGCCGTATCCAGATCATACTGCATCTGCTGTTTCCTTTTTATTGTAAATTATTTGTTTTATACAAGGCTCAATTCCCTCCTCCCTTCTGGTCCGTATTTCCCCATTCTGTAATACGGTGTATCGATTTACACTTAAGCCTCTGTAATCGCGTTTTTTATCAAATAAAATGCTTGTTTGACCTATTAAATACGGTTTATTCAAAATATTACGCCTTCATCCCTATTGTTATGGGTTTACGAGTCATTTTTAAGACACTGATAAAAAGACATCTAGTATATTCTGTAATATTAAAGCCAATAATGTATCATCATCTGAAAGAAATGGCGAATATCAAACCAATGATACCAAAGGATTTCTATTATTGCTAAACAATCACCTTAGTTACATGACCCCATCTCTAAAATATAAACCAATGGATGCAATATAAAAGACCTGAACACCTCCATGTTTAGCAAACGTTTCAATACAAATGACAACATTTTCAGGGTATATTTGAGCACTTATCAGTAGGAATTAACGCCCGAAATATAATTCAAAAGCGCCTGATAATTGCGTATATGGGCACAATTTTACGTCAAAATAAGGTTTATCTATCGAGATTATCAGAGATTTTCTGTCAGGAACGAGGGAAGAACGAGATAGGCAGGACAGGACAGAGAATGAATAGCTTCTTGAGAGCAGGTTATTTATTTAGGAATAGAGGAAAAGAAAAGAGAATATGATTATGAAATATATCTGATAAAGAAAACTGGGAGAAGTGAAATTTATCAGCTATATTTATAGAGAAAGAAAAACAAGAAATTAAATAAAAGAATAAGCAATGACAAAAGTTAGTCATAGCTTATGTGGATCATGACAAAGGATTTAAAGAGCTGACAGATCAATGATAAATATTGAGTCTGAAATCTGGTTACTCATATTGCATATTTGGGGCATAAGATGTAACAGGATTATGACATTTTCAGGCGTGCATTTCTAGAACGTTTTTACGATTCTTTCGGGTTTTCTTATTTGTGGTGAAAGTCAAAACTTTCGAAAACGTGTCGAAACACGCTAAAAATCGGCGAAGCTATGAAGGTTTTTAAGGCTACTCTCAAATCGAGTGAGCACTTGACTTTCACGTGTTTGGTTTACAGTATGTATTGTAAAGAAGTAGAAGAAAGATTGTTTAAGGTTTTGGAAGGTGTTATGAAGCTTATTGTTGAAATGAGCGACGAAGTACTTCAGTGGGGTTTGGGGGATAACTTGTTTTTCTGGTTGTTGTTGCACTTGGGAAATCTGGTGTTAAAAGTCCCTATACATTTTCTAGAAGTCACCTCGAACTTGCAAAATGCATCTTTTATTTCGATAAACCCAGAGAATTGGTTTTGTTAGTCGTCGCAGTTAGAAAAAGAGTTATTGTCGCGTTGAATATTTCTTGGATGTTATTATTTGAATTTTTGACATCTGATTTTATATCTTCCTCTTATTTTATTTTTATACTTTCATTTATTTTATCCGTATTTTTAACTTATGATTTATTTGTTTGACAACGATTGATCTGATCTTGTATTTATAACTTTCATGTATGTTTTTGACAGCTATAAAAGCTTATTTTATTGACAGTTAATAAAGGTTATCTTTTTTCTAGTTTATATTTTTTTTATATTCTACTATTTTGATACATAACTTCTTTGGCAGTTTTCCATTGCTTACTAGTGCATTTAATCTTTTTCTCTTTGTTTGTATAATCTGATATCAAGTGTTTACAGTCTCCTTGAATTAAAATTTTAAATTTTGTTTATTCTCGTACTTAGCTCAAAGTAAACATAAAGTACAGGTAGATCCTTATCAAGTGGTCCGATCTACCAGAGAAGGTTATTGACTCGTAACTCAGGTTTTATAGTACTATTTATCTCTGCTATTGTGATGGCTTCTCCGAAATCTGAACAAGTCGAAGTTATGGTTAAGAAACCGAATTGGGGTAGTATTGAGCCGAAGGATTTTTTGGGTGTCTCTATTGTCGGTGAAGACATGGCAAATGAAGGTCATGTTTGGCTCAAGAAGATGGAACGCTTTAAGAAGTCGGCTAAACTTTTGGATGAAGAGGCTCTTTTTGTTGTGGGTGATCATTTGACTAAGAAAGCTGAAACTTGGTACAATGTCGTTGGTGTGAAGGTTAAATCTTGGATTGAATTTGTTTTATCTTTTAAGAAGCAATTTTTGGTTAATCAAGAAGATAAGTGGTGGTCTAGTTTGCAAAATACGAAGCAAAAAGAACGTGACAGTATGGATGACATCGCTTTAAGAATGGAAGAGTTGTTTGAACTGTTGGATACGAAGAGTCAAGTTTTCCAAGTTCGTACCTTTTTATCAGCTATTCGCCCTAACATCGGTTTTAAAGTCGAAAAGAATGGTACCCCTTCCATTTTTGAAGCAGCTAAGGTTAAAGCTAAACAAATATAAAAGATCTTTTTGAAGTATGATACTAATCGTGTTGGTGCTTTGAGTTCTGGGCCTTCTGTTGATTTAAAATCTGATTTTTTCCAAAGTCATACGTTTAAAAATAGTTTTTCTGAAACCGCTAGTGTTACCAATACGGATATGTTTTCT